TATTTACACCCGTCTGAATCAAGTAAGCTCCCAATACAACGCAGAAGGTTCGTAAACCACACCGTTACCTCATCCTGTTATGCATTCCCTTGACTTTCCCCAAGAATCAAGGAAAGTACAGACTCTGTTTGTACAGTATAACATTCCCTTAACTTTCCCAAGAATCAGCCCGCAGCAAAAAAGGTAACAACACATCCCTCAAAGGCAACGTTACTTTTCCATGCCGCCTTGGTCAGTATAACATCTAATTCTAAACTGAAGGTCTTCTTAGTGGCATTTGTACAGACTCTGTTTCCTGTGGAACCAAATATAAATATAAATATACGGGTACCAATTCAAGAATAACATGGTACACACTTAATTATTACTGTGCATAAGACGGTAGCAATAGGAATATATTGGGAGAGCTACCAAACAACCTAACCACTACCAATCATGTTGCAACCGTCTTTAGTTCCCTTGCGTACTCTACGTTTGGGCAAGGTTAGAAGGAATTTCTGTTCTCGTTTTCCAACAAAGAATTTATGTTCATTTCAGGAGTAAACTGGATAGCAGAAGCATATGACCCCTAGTTCAGCAATTGGTATTTATGCACACAAGTAAGAAAAATGAGAAGATAAGACAAGAAATGCATACCCTTGCTCTAAGCACGCGATTTAACTATACGTGCACATACTCTGGTTATTGTTTCATTCATGCTCCTAGTCTGTTCAATTAATAATTGAAGAAAAGTCAGGATGATCTGAGGAAAAAGGAAAAAGAGAGCTAGAAACTAAATTACTCCCTCCGTCCCATAATGTAAGACGTTTTTTGACACTACACTAGTGTCAAAAAACGTCTTACATTATGGGACGGAGGAAGTAATAAATATGCTCACCGGCTTGAACGTAAAATAATCATGCAGCCACCGCCGGATCTCATCAATCTTGAGAGCAAATTTGAACTCACAAAACGTACAAATCCAAATTCCCATAACTAGATGGCTCTCATTGAATACAGGTGCCCCATAACATCCCAGTGACCCCGGCATATCAAACTCAAAAAACTCTAAGTCAGGAGCATACACTGGATCCAAATCCTTGCCAATCACGGGGCCGCCACTGCAGTAAAGAAAGACATGTTATGCATCTAGTGGATACCTTATACTAGATTTCAGTTATAATGTTTTCCCTTTATATTCTAGCAAATGCCAAAAACTCACCAGATTTTACCATTTATGGTAGTGCCAAATAAAACCTTGTCATCTTTCTGACAAGTGGGGAAGCAGAAAATTGAGAACACTTCTGTTGCCCTTTTGTAAAAAGACTGACCCATCAAGTCCTCATTGTCAATGAATTTAACAGGGACATATGACTTCTTGGGGTAAGGAACAAATACAAGACATAAGTCCTTCCACCAATCAACGCAGTATACTTCCCCCTTAGCTGAATGCCCATCAAGAAAGTCCACTCGTAGGATTATATTCTCATTTAGCATCCCAACTGAATTAAAATCAGGGCCAGGGCGTGTGGTGAAAGCTCTCAAAGCTTTAGAGGAGCTGAGAATTAAAATGAACTTTTTGGATGAGTGGATAATGGAACCTGTTCCGTAAGACCTCATCGGTTTCCTCCCCTCCTTAGAGCTATACTTCCACTGAACTTTTAAGGAAATGACTGACTCAAGATGCTTATCAGCGAGTTCACACATGATACGAGCTGATTTGCGGTCGTCATCCATGGTCAGCCACTGCCATATGATTATTCAAGCACATCATTAAGATAAGTAACACTGAAATGGAATTATATAATACATGCAGCCATTTTAAGTACAGTAAAGATGATTTCACAAGATGTAGAAATAATGTTGACATGGAATCTGGAATGCATTCCTTATAATGTCAATAAGAGATATGCAAACATATTTGCATGGCATTTCCCATATGAGCAAGAAAGAACAGGCAAAGGTTCAAGCAGCTGGAAAAGCTAGTGTCTACAATCCACAAGTTTCAATCTGAAGAGTATAGTGCAGCAGCAAATTGCATAAAACAGCCAATATAGTTAGGCAACAAACATGTGCATAAAGAAAAAAAAAGGAGAAATCCCCTGGTGTGTTCTGACCCTAACCATTCAATGCACCATCAGGTATATGTAAAAGCATCTCCAACTGAATCCTAATCGCAACCCATTGCTGTTTTTTTATCAGAAAGCAGAAAACCAGTCTCCAACTAACCCCATCAGGAGAGTATCTTCCTTATTTCTCGGTGAAATTTGGCTTGTTACTTCAGGAACAAAGATACAATACAGCTCAAAAATAATGTTTCATTTCTTATACGCGTTTTGGTTTTGGCTCGATGTTTCAAGATCAGATGACTTGAACAACAAAATATGTTGTTAGTTAACATGTGAAGATTGCCCTTTTGTGATGTTAAAATCCATAATATGCCAAGGCATGTGAATTAAATAAAATTATCTTGATGCTTCGTTATTCATGCAAATTTCTGATGTCTTTTCTATTTTACATGTCAGTGTAGTTTATTACTATGCTACCATTACTAAGCAACCCTAACACACATAGTTCACATCTAAACGCAGAACCGTCATGGCATTGAGCATTCAACAGCTGATATTTTTTGTGTGCTAGGTATGCTGCAGCAACAAAGAGCTAGTCGTCGTCGTATGACAATGAGACAACAAATCGAGAAATTACATGAGGAAGCTACGACCACACACTGCAAGGTGGTCCCAAGACTCTTGGAGCATGAAGAGATATGGAGAGGGAATTTTTTTAAGAGGTTCTCCATATAAAGATATGGGGGTTTCTTTGGCGATGCTCTAGCTAAATATTATACAATATTCATGAAGGAAAAAATATGCTGCGGAATATAACAGCATATGAGATGGTAAGTTCTGTGTTTGCGGAAACAAACCATTCCCTGCATCATGATGTTGGCACGGTACTGCCATGGTAATATCTCTTAGAATTAGAAGTGTGGATGTTATATGTGCAACAGAATGCATAGGTAGTATTTTTAACACTTAATGCAGAAGGATTTCTATATATGAACAATGAGAAATACTTTATTGAAAGGCAGAAACCAAAATCCAGTCTACACAAACATATACTGATGCTTGGAAACTCCTAACGGCTCCGAAGCTATTTGTCTTTTGGAATTGCAAAAAAAAATTCAACTGAAAGACACATGTAAATATTGCAATAATTATTTGGAATGGCAGATTTTCCTGGAAAAATATACATCTCTGCGAGCTGTGAAAAGAACAAGCACATCGCAGCACTAGTCTCCCATCCTCCCTTGTGTTCGTTTGCACAGTTTACAAATGAAAATACTGCTTCGCGGTCCATAGTTTTTTAACTCAAAAAACTTCTAAAATGTAGAAGAAAAAAAGAGCTCACTACAGCTCAGGAGCCAACTGTCTATTATCCTAATGTGGTGGATAAGGACTGAGTGGTGTTGCGCATAGCACTCATGGCTTGGAGTCAGGATGCTTCACAGACGACTCCTTCTGCTGGCGTATGTGTGCCAGACATGTCCCTTCCAAAAGTCATAAGAAGAATATTGGTTCCCAAACAAATACTATCAAGCATGACAAATAATTGCTGCAAATCTACCCCCACGCATGCTATTCTTGTTTCATCTTCATACATACATATATAAGAACAGAAAATGGAAATTTTACCTTGGGGACAAGCTTGGCAGCTTCTGGAAGCAGAGGGGCGTCTGGGCATGCTTGGGCGGTGAGCTGACTTGGACATAGGTGGTCTTGATGGCGGACTGGGTAGAGACCTTGCCGGGGCGAATGCGGGGTGGGGGAAATGGGGACCGGCAGCTTAGATATGATTCTAGATAATCTGGCTACTGTTTTATTCATACTACTTGTCTGTTGGAATAATTAAAGAAAAGTCAGAAAGATATGAGGAAAATGAGAAGCAGAAACTAAATTAACAAAAATGTTCACCATCTCGATGTCAAAACAATCATGGAGCCACCGCCGAATCTGATCAAGCGTAAGAGCAAACTCCAATTTATCAAATCGACAAGTGCAAATACCCATAACTAAAAGATTATCTGTGAATACAGGTCTCCCAGGACACTCCTTTCCCCCCGGCATAGTGAACTCAAAAACTCCAAGTCAGGATCGTAAACTGGACCCAAATCATTGCCAATTATTGGGAGGCCACTGCAGTGAAGAAAGACATGTTATGCATTTAGTGAATATCTTGTACAAGATTTCAGTTAAGCTGTTTTCACTTTAAATTTTAACAAATGTTAACAACTCACCATATTTTACCATTTGAGGTAGTGCCAAACAAAATCTTCTGACCATTTGGTATACAAAAGATTGAGAACACTTTTGTTCCCCTTTTGTAAATAGACTGATCCATCAAATTCTCATCATCAATGAACTTTACAGGTTCATAGGTCCTCTCAGGGAAAGGAATAAGTACAAGACACAAGTCTTTCCACCAACTGATGCAATAAACCATGCCCATAGCTGAATGCCCATCAAAGAAGTCCACTTGAAGAAATATATTCTCATTTAGTATTTCAATGGTATCAAATGCGGGACCAAAGCATGTGGTGAAATTTCTGAAAATTGTAGAGCAGCTGAGAATTAGCATGGACTCCTGAGATGAATAAATGATGGAACCTGTTGCCCGAGGCATAATCGGTCTCCTCCCCTCCGTAGACCAATCCCTCCACCAAACTTTTAGGCAAACAACTGACTGAAGATGTCTATCAGCAAGATCATTCATGATATGAGCTGACTTGCCGTTGTCATCCATGGCCAGACACTGCCATATGATTATTCAAGCACACCATCAAGATATGTAGCATGGAAATGAAATTATATAATATATGCAGCCATTTTGAGCAAAAGTGAAGATGATTCCATCAGATATAGAAATAATGTTGACATGGAAATATGGAATGCATGCCTTATATTGTCAATAAGTGACATGCAAACATATTTAGATGTCTCCCATATGAGAAGAAAGAACAGTCAAATGTTCAAGAAACTGGGAAATCTAGCATGCCTACAATCCAATAGATTCAATGTTAATAGTATAGAGCAGCAGCAAATCACATAAACCAGCCAAATCAAGCAAGTCAGTGGATTTGAGCTTATGAGGTGTCCATCCTCATTTACCTTTTTCTCTTCAGCAACCGCATCTTCTGTTTTACTCTTGATTCCCCATGATTTGCTGCTATCTTCGTTGGGTTCTACAACCAGCACTCCATCCTCACCAGTTCCTAAGCCTGTGCTGTCTGCCTTGCTATCAGTCCCAATAAGTAGAGAGTTTGATCCAGTTGGGACATTGGATTTCTTTTCTGCATCCAAATCTTTCATGCCCGACTCATCCTTCTGAACCTCTGCTGCCTCGTTACAATCTGCATTCTTGTCAGCATCTTTTCGACTGCCATTGCTGCAACCATTGACTTTGTCACCCGCTCCACTGCCCTTTACATTTGTTGTCGCGACATCAGAAGGTGGAGACTTTGAGATGGGGATACTTCCCTTAACACCAGAATCACTTGGGGTAAACCTGATTGCAGAGAAAGGATTAGAAGAAGGAGCTGGCAGTGGCTGCTGGCTTGTAACCTCAACAGTCGTTCTGATTGTCAGCACTTCTTTACGAGCTTTCTTAAATGTCCTTGCCTCTTGCTCTGGTGAGCCATCATCAAGCTCAGGATTGTCCTTGTTGATTTGTTTATCTGCAGCCCTCTTCCTAGAGGTCTGAGGATGTTCCTCAACCACCATCTTAGGAGTTTTGAGTACCTGGATGTAAAAATATTGGAACAAACTATGAAAACAGTTACAAAGTAGTTTAGACAAGTAACCATCCAGTCATCACGGAGATAGCACAGTTTAGACAAATTTGACTACGCAGACCATTTACAGAATAAACTTAAAATAAACCAGGAAAGTTGAAAAGTTATTATTGTTGTATATGGTGGAACAAGTGTACACAAAATAAAAAACCATAATGTAGCCAAACTAGGTTGCCCAAAGTTGCAAAGATGGACTCATGTACATCACTGTGAGCTGTGAAAGAAAAAAAGCAGATCACAGCAGTAATCATCCTTGTGTTCGTTTGCACAGGTCACAAATGAAAAATATGCTTCATGATCCATAATGTGTTTCCTCATGTAAAAGGGGGGCTCCGGAGCCAACTTCTATTATCATTCCCATTAATCAAAAAAAAACTTCTATTATCATTCCCTCAAAAAAAAATTCTATTATCCTGGTACGGTGGAGGGAGTGACCGGTGGAGCGCATCGCACGCATGGCTTGGAGTCAGGTGGACGACTCGGTCTATGCAATTGTACATGCCATCTGCTGTTTCTTTTTTCTAATAAAAAGAAAAACAAGCCATCCGCTATCCTTTATCAGATACGTCCCTTCCATCAGGCATAAGAAGTCCCCAAAATAATCAAGCATCGCAATACACGTGGAAAAGCAAAACCACCCGCACACATAACAAATTAAGCAGCGCGCATACATCCATATGCAATAGAATGGAAGTTTTACCTCGGAACAAGTTCAGAAGCTTCTGATAGCAGAGGGGGCGAGCTTGGGGGCGAGCTGGCTCGGGCAGAGGCGGTCTTGACCGCGGGCTGGGCAGAGACCTCGTCGGGGCAGATGCGGACTGTGGCGAGTGCGTCCGGCAGCGGCGCGAGCTGGGCCGAGCTATGGGTGGACGAAGGAGGACGTGGAGATCTGGTACCGGAACAGGGCGGCCGCGGCGGGAGGATGGCGCAAAACCCTAACACCCGCCTCTCCTCGCCGGAGGAAGATCCAGTGAATATGCTTCTACAGAGTCACATATGAACAGCACCTCTCTAGGCCGTCTGATTGAGATCAATGGCCAGATTGGCATGAACAGTGACTCCTGCAACTAGAATCATCTTTTTTTTTTGAGCAGTTGCTACTAGAATCATGAACGGTGCCCTCGTTGCTCTATTTGAACCGTCCATTTTCCTTCTTTTTAACAAGGAACTGTCCATTCTAAACCCAACAGTAAGGTCGTTACTTTTTCACAGCGTGAAATGTTTCTCCTTCTATCAGGTGACTCCTTAAGCGATTATGTTTGTCGGGTCGTCGCTGACCGCCTTCGTGAGGGCGTATTCGTGAGTTTTGCTGCTAAGGACCTGTTCTGATCTTCTCCAACTTCACAAAACTTCACATAACCAGCTTCTCATGCTAGCTTCTCGCTCTGCCTGGCGATCTCATTCCGTTCTACTCGATCGGTAGCTTCTTCTAGCGATACATTAGCTGGCAGCCCAGCTAGACCAAGATCTGGCCTGTTCGGTGGCATTTGGGCCGGCTGAAACCAGCCCATTTAGAGGGAGAGAGGAAAGGTTACATACCAGGGTGAGCGAACCGTTTTCTTTACGAGGGAAAGAGCGAACCGTTTTCTTAAGCGGTGGCACATCGGCCGTAATATAAGCGAACTTCATCTTCTCGATTTGGTGGAGCTGGGCCGGCCTCGCTCCAGTTTTTTGCACTGGAATCGCCCAAAGCTTCCCGAAGCTAGCTTCCAGCAGCAAAATCGTTCGGCTCTGCTACGCTCCAGAATTTTGTGAAGCGTGGAGTGGGAGGAGATCAGAACAGGCCCTAAGTATAGTAGTTTATGATTCAGTCTCGTGTGCATGGTGTATGTGGTGAGGTCGTAAGGAGTTGTGCTACTTCATATTCCTATTGTTAGGAATTTCTTCTCCTGGTTGACGTATTCAAGAGGAAGGGAGCAATAAGTTTTTTGGCTTGGAATTGTCATGGCAATGTTGATACGTCTCTAAGGTATCTATAATTTTTAATTGTTTCATGCTATTGTAATTGTCATAGATGTTTTATATGCTATTTTATATGATTTTTGGGACTAACCTATTAATTTAGAGCCCAGTGCCAGTTTTCTGGTTTTTTCCTTATTTTTGAGTTTTACAAAAAGGAATACCAAACGGGGTCCAAATGACCTGAAAATTTACGGTGATTTTTTGTGGACCAGAAGAAGCCCCCGAAGCAAAAGATTTGGGCCAGAAGAGTCCCGAGTGAACCACAGGGGTGGAGGGCGCGCCCTACAACTCCGGGAGGGTGCTCTGGTCTTGTCGTTGACTCGTGGACCCCCCTAACGTGAAGCCGGCGCCAAAAAATCATGTAAATACATAAACCCCCGAAAAGAAACCTAGATCGGGAGTTCCGCCGCCGCAAGCCTCTTTAGCCACCAAAAACCAATCGGGGCCCTGTTCCGGCACCCGGAGGTGGGAATCATCACCGGTGGCCATCTTCATCATCCCGGCGCTCTCCATGACGAGGAGGGAGTAGTTCACCCTCGGGGCTGAGGGTATGTACCAGTAGCTATGTGTTTGATCTCTCTCTCTCTCTCTCATGTTCTTGATTTGGCACGATTTTGATGTACCGCGAGCTTTGCTACTATAATTGGATCTTATGATGTTTCTCCCCCTCTACCTTCTTGTAATGGATTGAGTTTTTTCTTTGAAGTTATCTTATCGGATTGAGTCTTTAAGGATTTGAGAACACTTGATGTATGTCTTGCGTGTGCTTATCTGTGGTGACAATGGGATATTCATATGATCCACTTGATGTATGTTTTGGTGATCAACTTGCGGGTTCTGTGACTTTGTGAACTTATGCATAGGGGTTGGTACACGTTTTCGTCTTGACTCTCCGGTAGAAACTTTGGGGCACTCTTTCAAATTCTTTGTATTGGTTTGAATAGATGAATCTGAGATTATGTGATGCATATTGTATAATCAAATCCACGGATACTTGTGGTGACATTGGAGTATCTAGATGGCATTAGGGTTCTGGTTGATGTGTGTCTTAAGGTGTTATTTTAGTATGAACTCTAGGGCTGTGTGTGTGAAACTTATAGGAATAGCCCAATAGATCGATCAGAAAGAATAATTTTGAGGTGGTTTCGTACCCTACAATAATCTCTTCGTTTGTTCTCCGCTATTAGTGACTTTGGAGTGACTCTTTATTGCACGTTGATGGATTGTTATATGATCCAATTATGTTATAATTGTTGAGAGAACTTGCACTAGTGAAAGTATGAACTCTACGCCTTGTTTTCAAGCATTGCAATACCGTTGTCGCTCACTTTTGTTACTAGTTACCTTGCTGTTTTTATATTTTCAGATTACAAAAATCCATATCTACCATCCATATTACACTTGTATCACCATCTCTTCACCGAACTAGTGCACCTATACAATTTACCATTGTATTGGGTGTGTTGGGGACACAAGAGACTCTTTGTCATTTGGTTGCAGAGTTGTTTGAGGGAGACCATCTTCATCCTATGCCTCCCACGGATTGATAAACCTTAGGTCATCCACTTGAGGGAAATTTGCTACTGTCCTACAAAACTCTGCGCTTGAAGGCCCAACACGAGTCTACAAGAAGAAGGTTGCGTACTAGACATCACATGCTCTCGGTCATGACAATTTTTGAACTCTTGGAATCCAAGGGCGGATGTGATTTTTTGTCGAAATCTCATCTGAATAAAGATAAGGCTACCAAGTTACATCTGCAATTAGGTTTTGATTTGTCCCATGTTGTAGTAAGTCATGGTAGAGCTAGTGGTTTTGTCTGGTTTTACAATCAAACAAACGAAGTTGTCCTAAATTTTCCATCCTAGAATTATATTGATGGCATGACCATGTCTAGGTCTAATGCGGGGTGGCGCCTAAGTGGATTTTATGGCGAGCTTGCTTGGGATAAGAAGCACTTGTCATGGGATTATATTTGAGGAATTTTCATGCTGGTGCAACTGGTCCATTGCTAATCACTGGAGACTTAATGAAATCTTGAACTCCAGTAAAAAGGAAGGAGGGGCCCAGAGGCCGAGTGCTATGATGCAAGTGTTCAGGAATTATTTGGCTGATTGCGGGCTTGATGATGCTGATTTTATTGGAGATCCATTCACATGGGCTAGAGGTATGATCAGAGAATGGCTGGACAAGGCATTTTGTAACGGAGCTTGGTCTGACAAGTTCCCAATAGCAACTCTGATCCATGAACAACAAGTACAATCAAATCATAAACCCTTTCTTGACACTGAGTACATTGATGCTTCACATCCTTGTAATCTAATGGAGGCGCCACTTTGAGGCTCATTGGCTACAAGAAGAGATGGTGTCAAGAAATTGTTCACACGACATGGGAAAGGGCGAAGCCCGCTGACATTAGTCCATCAATGAGGCTAGAACTCACGTTGTAATTGACGATCTTCACGAATGGGATCAACAAGGTTTGAAAGGACCGAAAAGCACATTGCAAAGCTGACGAAGGAACTTGAAAAAAATCATTGTGGGCCTTTAAATGCTGAAACTCAAGGGCGACAGAAAGAAGTCCAAATTCTTATCGAAAATCTCCTTGATCAAAAGGAGATTTACTGGTTGCAACACATTCGCGCCAACTAACTTTTGCATCGTGATAGAAACTCTTCCTTTTTTCACAAGGCAATGTTCGCACCCATTTTTGGCAAACCACCTGCCAATGAGACATTCCTATAATGGTAGGCGGCTCAGATGATTGCACCCGAGGAGGTACTCGGAACGTGAAGAACAAGCAAGAGACATGCAAGAAACACTTGGGAGCAAGGTGCACGGGGGGTCTGAGAGTGACCAATTCTAGCTCTCCCAAGGTGTTACAAGATGCCATGTCCCAATCGATAGGCTCATCAGTTCGGCATGTTCCATGTTCTAGATGGCATGCCACCATGTCCCAGCCAGTAG